CGAAAAGATTCCATCCGGTCTCTCGTCGTCGTGGTCGTCGCGTCCGCTCCGTTTTTCGTTCCGACGACGGGGCGGCACACTCGAGCCGCTGCCTCGAGTCATTTTCATCGTGTACGCGAGCGTGCCGGCGGAAGGGAGAAAAGGGAACGGTTTGTTCGTCTGAAAAGACCACCACCGGCAGTCGTCGTCGGAGGGACGCGGCGCGGGTGCACGGCGAAGTGATGATCCTAGATTCCGAAAAGAACGGCGGAGGAAAGAGAGACGAAGCGAGGAGAACGGAAGCTTTGACGGGAAGAAACGAGAGAGCTCCGGTGCCAGCTGCGCCGCGAGTAATCGAGCCCTCTTTCCTCGATCCAAGCGCGTCCGTTCGTTTCTCCTCGATGGAGACTGGAAGGAAAGTCGGGGAAACGAAAAGTAGAGATCGGCGAGAACGCGAAGGGGTAGGAGAACGGTGCTGTCGCGTGGTCGCTTGGTTGCGAACGCGGCGGTGCATGCGAGTCAACCAACCGCGCGAATACGCGAGCGGTTCGTTGCATAAATATCGCTCGGTTCATCTACGAGGCGCGTCCATCCCTCGCCGGCTGGTAAACGCATCGATTTATCGCTCCGACGTCGTCCACGCGACCAACAACGGCCTCTGCCGTGTTTTCCTCGGATTTTCCGCCACGTTGGAGCAAAGTCTTGGACCAGGCCACGAGCAAACGTTATTAACCTTGTTCGCACGGCGAGCACGGCGAGTGTCGAAGGAAAAACGAAGAGAACGCGGGCTATTCGCGAGTAGGAACGTTTCGGTTGGATTACACGTCGCCGACTGGAAATAGGCCAGTCCGCGCCGCGCGTGCCTCTGCTCTCGGTGGCTCCTTCGCGATATTCCAACGCGCGCGCTCTGCAGTCGGCCGAGAGAAAAAAGCGCGACGAACGACTCGGGGTCGGTTGGCGCGTAAATTCTTAGCCGACTCCGGTTTCAAGGTCTAGACGGCGTTTCCTTTAAATAGCCGTGGATCCATCGGCGACGACCGGTCGTGGTCGTGGTCGTTGGCGCGTCTATCGTCGCGTTCTCCACCTTATCCGCGAGAGACGCGGAGTCGCAGAGTCTCGCGGTAGCGAGGCGCGATCTCGAATTTGGCTCGACTGGTAGCGAACGAACGACGAGAGGAAGGAAAGACACCGAGAAGCGACGGCGGAGGACGAGACGAGAAAGGGGAAGGTCGTTCGACGGTGGCATTTATTTTCGGCCAATTAGCGGCATTCCACGACGGTGGCATCTTCTCCGCGAGTTGCATAACTCGTCGGGGAACGACGAGACGAGACGAGACGAGACGAGCGCGAAAGAAACGACGACCAGGCGGCGAAAAGGGGGCAAAGACGCGCGTCGGCACGCGACGCTCGAGGCTATCCTCGCGAGACGCCGTTCGGTCTTCGACCGAGATCGAAACGGCTCGGGAGTGGAAACGCGCGCGCGCGCGTTGCTCGTTAATCGCGCGAAATTTCTCGCGCGTTCCGCTCTTTCCGAGGACGTCGCGTTATTCTCGTCTCGGCTACCAAGCGATGCAAACGCATCCGCGAGAGACACCGGGAACACCTGTCGTCTTCTGGACGGGTCCACTCGACCGGAATATTCCCTCGTTCGAGTCCTCGGTCTCGAACGCGGAAGATATCGATCGCGGTAACGCGAGGTCGAGAAGAGACGTGGAAACGCAAATACGCGGCGGATCCGCGCGTGGTCCGGTCGAGATTCCATCGGGTGGCAATTATCTCCGATCCGCTCGAACGACCGATCGCGAGCGCGCGCGACTTCTCGAAATTTCGGTCGACGAACTTTGCGAATTCCTTGGCGCGTTTCGCTTCCGTCGCCTTGCCAGCTTGGGCCAGCTTCGGTCAACCGGCGGCACGTTCCTCGTCGCTAATTATCGACGTGGCTCGCGCAGGTGAGACGCCGAATACCGATCGAGATCGATTATCGCGACGAGGTCGCCGACCGAATTAACCTTCGATAACGAATCATCGCCACGCGTCCCCCGCGGGTCTTTGCCCGATCGAGATATTCCAGTCGACGTCGACTCGCGAGGGTTCTCGCGTTTCGCGCCAAACGCGATCCAGCGACGCCTTCTTATCGCCGTGCCTCTTCCGTTGGGGTACTCGCAATTTCTCCTACGCGTTCCACCCCTCGCGGTAGGAGGAGGAGGAGGAGGAGGAGAATTATCACGGGCGATGGGTCGAAGCGCGGGATCCCTCGCGGTCCTTTGGCGACGATTCGCCCCTCGGTATCTCTCCGCTCGTACGTCACCTCTGACAAGTAAAACCGGTATTTACGGTCAAGTCCCTGGAACCCCTCCGCTTATACCGTCGCCGCGATTCGTTCCGCGCGAAAATCTCTCCTCCGGGCTCCGCTCTCCCTGCTTGGCCGTTCCTCTTATCCGATGCCCGCGGCCAAACGACCGCGCCACGCCGAGCGGTCTCGTGGTCGAAAAATTGCTCCTCCGACCGAGTCTCGCGGACGCGGAGAGAATTGGAAACGCGCGCCCGTCGCGGCGTTCTCGGTCCGTTGAAACGTGGCATCGAGGAGATTTGCAGGTGTCTAGCCGCGATTATACCGGTATCGCGCGAGATTTCATCCGGAAAGTTTGGCCCGATTTGCAAAGGATCGGCGAAAAGTCGGTCGTCCAGGTGGTTTCCGATGCCCTCCGATGCCTTCCGATGCCGGGACACGGGACGTAATTACGCAAATGAATTGAAACGATAGCAAATCCGGCGTGGTGGAAAGAGGTGCAATTACTTTGGCCGCGGATAAGGGGAAATGGGCTATACGGGGTGCGCTCCGCTGGGAAATACGTCTGGCTTTGCCGGTGGCGAGGAAATTTAATATCCGAATCGACGTTCGCGGCTCGATGCGACTTCTCTCGTCTCGACGACCGCGAAGATTTTCTTTCTTCTCGCCTGCCACCGCAGCTGTGTCCGCCGAGAACCGCGCTGCAACGATGCGAGGAAAGTGGAGGAAATTCCGTGAAGAAAATCCGAGGATCGCCAGTCGTTTTCCCTCTTCCCCTCCTTGGCCTTTCTCTCTTCGCGAGAGGGTGACGACGTCGCGGAACGACGTTAGTCGAGAGTAAATTGGTTCTCGCGACGAGAAAGAGATCGCTTCCGGCTGTTAGCGACGTTGCAAACGGAACGACGCGACGACCGTCGTCGCGATTAAGACGTCGTTCAGCGACGGTAACGCGATATACTCGATTGCTCGTTCGCGGCTACGCGTATCTCGCCGCGTCGCTCGGTAAACCAGCAAAATTTCGTTTTCTCGCGGTAATTTATCCCATTTCGAGCCGCACAACCGCTTCGTCTTTGCCCATTTTCGCGGTTCCCAGGGACGAGGCTCCCTTTTCTCGTCCACGGGAAAACTCTGTCGATTCCCGTTAATTCGCAGCCGCTTTGCGTATCGGAATTAGCCCCGAGACGTCCTTTGCTCGCGGCGCGAGTGGAATCTGCGCGGCGTTCGCTGGAATGCGAATGGGACGGAATGGGAGGCCAGCGCGAAATCGCGTTAACGAATCCAAACGGTCGCTCTCGCGGCGCAAAGTTACGCTCGATTAACCTTTCCGCCACGGCGACTCCGCGTCTCGGGTCTGCTCGGAAGCTCGCGCGCGATCGTCGTCGCGACGCGCGTTCCGATGCACCAACATTCACGCTTTTTTCCTCTCTCGTTCCAGATCTCGCACGCTTTGGGCTTAGTCGTTCGTCGTCGACCGTTCACGATGGCCGTTCGTTTATGGTAAGTTTCTCCGAGCGTATCCACTGCGATTCGAAAAATCCTCTCGGTTCTCGTACAATCGCCGCTATCCTCGGCTCGCGCTCTCGTCCTCCCTTAAATCCTTCTTATCCCGTGAATTATGTCTAACGAATTTCCTCGGGCTCGAGCGTGTGCGCGCGCGGTGGTCGAACGATCGCGGACGCGTGCGCGCTCGCGTTGGAGACGATCCAAGTGTGGCGTCTGCGACGCGACCAGACGCGACCAGACGCGACCAGACGCGACCAACGGGGCGGGGGTAGACGGGCAGCAGCAGGAGACGCAGACGACGAGGAAGAAGACGAAAAAGAAATAGAGAAAGAAGAAGAAGAAGAAGAAGAAGGAGAAGGAGAATCTCGGTGATCGTCGAATCCGCGATGTATGGTCGAGTAGCTAGCCCTCGTAATCGCATAATCGGTAGCAGGTGTCGAGCGAAAGGACGCGTGGTCGCGACGCGGAGAAAATACAAACGGAGAGAGATCGCGCTAATCCGCCACCCGTTACCGGCGTCGTCGACGTCGGCGTCGGCGTCTGCGTTCGCGATACTCTATAAATAATTGGGGGAATCCCGCGGTAGCAGAAGAAATTGCCGTGTTTCGAGGCAAACGCGGCACGCTGTCGTCGAAATATTCGCGCGACTTCTTCTTCTTCTTCTTCTTCTTCTTCTTTCTCCCCTTCGCCTCGTCTTCCTCTAATTTTGGCCGACCGACGAAAACAGTTTGACCAGCGGACGCTCGTCTTCTTTTTCTTTCGCGGCCGAGAACGTCTGGCCGACTTTGCTCCAATTTCTATTTTCGACCGAGACGCCGAAACTTTCGAGCTGGATGTTACACGCGCGAATCGAAGCCACGAAACCGTGTGGCGATCGTATTCCGATGGAAATGGAGAAAAGGAGGAAAGGAGGAAAGGAGGAAAGGAGGAAAGAATGGTTGGGCTAATAATCGGTTGTCGCAATGGCGATCATCTGTCGCAGACGAATCCGGCGCGCATAAGAAGCGAGCAAAGCGGCGGGGCGGCGGCGGCGTCGTCGTCCGGAAGCGAGGAGCGGAGAAGCAGCGGCGAGAGCGTGCCGCAGGTGCCGATGCCGGTATCTGTGCCGGTATCGGTGCCGGTGCTCCTGCCTCTCGACCAACCGAGCAAGCAGAGGCGAGAGATCGCGTTTACTTTCGACCAAGTACGCTCGTATTCCCAGCCAAAGTGGCTAAGAGCGTAAGTCCTCATCGAGTGCACCAGGAGTGCTCGAGCGGAGGGGAGGTTCAGGTACAGGTGCAGCAGGAGAGAAGAGCACCGAGGCGCATGCCTTACCTGGGGCCTGATATGACAACCCGGCTGTCCGCCATGTTTTACACGGTCGAAGTCGGGGACACCAGATTCACCATTCTGAAACGGTATCAGAACCTGAAGCCGATCGGATCCGGAGCGCAGGGCATCGTTTGGTGAGTATATCCGTCTCTTCGCGACGCGGCATATCGCGGGACCGATACGATTTCGTTGTTGCAGCGCGGCGTACGACACGGTCACCACGCAGAATGTCGCGATCAAGAAATTGTCCAGACCTTTTCAAAACGTCACGCACGCGAAGAGGGCCTACAGGGAATTCAAGCTGATGAAGCTGGTCAATCACAAAAACGTGAGTGTACGCCGATCCGTACGCCGATCGGCACCCACCACCACGATTCTCCCGTCGAACGCGTCCCATTCTTTCTTTTCCCGCAGATAATCGGTCTGTTGAACGCGTTCACGCCGCAACGCTCGTTGGACGAGTTTCAAGACGTCTACTTGGTGATGGAGCTTATGGACGCGAACCTGTGCCAGGTGATCCAAATGGATCTGGATCACGAACGCATGTCTTACCTGCTGTATCAGATGCTGTGCGGCATCAAGCACCTGCACTCGGCCGGTATCATTCACAGGGTAAGCGACGATTCGTTCGTCGAGATCCAGACGATCGCGAGTAATCGTTTAACTCTCGTTCCTTGTTCCTTCTTCTCGCCGATAGGATTTAAAGCCGAGCAATATCGTGGTAAAGGCCGACTGTACGCTCAAGATCCTCGACTTTGGCCTGGCTAGGACCGCCGGAACCACCTTCATGATGACGCCGTACGTGGTCACGCGGTACTACAGGGCGCCAGAGGTAAGGTATATCCTGTCCCAGAGAGAGAGAGAGAGAGAGAGAGAGAGAGAGAGAGA